CCAAGTCTGTAACAGCCAAGCCACCAAAATATTTTTGGACTGTTTATTCACATGTGAAATCAGTGAGTTTAATTAAATGATCTTGATGGTTCTGTCACTTCCTGTCATCCCATCTTTCACTATGATATATCCATGTAATGATACAAGATAGCACTCATGATATCTTCATAGGCTACTTTTCAATTCAGATAAAACTAATGTTACTTAGCAGATGCAAACTGGCATAGAGGATTATTTATTGCTTTATATTTTTACCTTTTTCATTTTTTCTATTTTTAAAAGACAAAATCATGAAATGTCATGGCCATCTTTCTGCAATTATTATACCCCAGGCACTGTACTGATTTATACACATTATCCTGTTTCTCACCACAGCCACTCTATGAAAACGTTACAACTATTCTCCTAACATTAAATGGTAGAAACTGAGATTTAGCCTAATTAAACTGCCACAAGCCACCTGGCCAGAATGGAAGCCAGGTCTAACTCTAAAGCTCTCTTTATTGTGATGTACAAACAATTCCCTTTTGCTCGAACAATTCTCTTTGGGACACTTTTCATTAAAAAAAGAAATTATTTTGAAAAAAGGATTAGGAGCTAGCTTTTTAAAATTATGGAAAGTAAGTTCTGCTTGAGAATGTACTTTGACACTGGCATTTTGACTCATCATATCACATTGCTCAAAGGATTGAGCAATTGCTAAAAACTCAGCTCTTTTAAGAAAAACATTAGATAATACCTCCCACATCACCCAACCTGTGCTGAAAATCAAGAAACTGAAGGTTTAAAGGTTCTTCAGAGCATGTGAAAATCTGCCACTGGTGGCAATAGATGCCAGAAAAGGTCATGCTGCTTTTTAAGAGTTAAAAAAGTAAGCAAGGGACCAACATATACAATTGTTTCAAGATTTTAAAAGAAGACATTACATCTCCTGTCCTTTCTTGCCTCACTAGTAGCACTGGACTAAGATTTTCACTTAAAGTTTGCTGAAACTGAATGCTTTCTCTCTGCCAAGGATACAATGTGGTCAAGATCGACACAGTATTGAATAACAACTCTTATCACTGAGTACCAGGTACTGTGCAAAAAAATTTTAGATTATATTTCATTTAACTCCCTCATATTTTGTGAAAGCGCTATTACATTGGACCCCGTACAGATAAAAATATTTTCCTACTTGTATGCTCAGGAAATGAAATCATGCCTATCACAATGTCAAATACTGAATAAACTGGCCAACATAATCCCATTTATACAAACACAGCCTGAAGTGAAGTAGTTTATTCAAGCTTGAACACCTAGAAAATGTCAGAGTGAGGGTGCCAAGCAGGTGTTTGTGTTTGACAGTAGAGCCTGTTCATTCTCTCAACCACTTGGACATACACATTTTAAACTGAAGCGCTGCCAACTTTAGATGCAGGGCTGTTGAACCCACCCTCGCACACTGAAAGTGAAGCTACAGAAATATCAAAAATCTAAATAAGGAATGGACAAACTGATTCAAAAAGTGTTGTAGAATTTGCCAATATTTGAAGACACAACCTTATTTAAACTCTAAGCCACCAATTCAACTTCGAGAAGAAGTGAATGTGGGGTTGTGATCTTTGCTGGGAACCACACCTGTCTGGGTGGTTTTCAGAATGATCTGGCATCAAGAACAACACATCTTTTCCATTCAGTTGTTCCCAGAACAAGCCAAGATCTCTCCTGAGTGGCCTAGCATCAGAGAAGGGTTGGTATCTCCAAAGCAACTTAGGGGAGACGAACCCTGCGAAGAAAGCCATGAAGTCTCTTTCTTGTTGCCACAAAACCAGACCCTCCATTCAGAGCAAGGGGAAGGCACAATGCTGTTGCCCAAATGACTTTATGTCCAAGAAGCAGTTGACAACAAACATGTATTCCCATTCCAGCAAAAAGATCTTAAGATTTTTGCTAAGAACATGATTCAAGACAGAAAAATAATTATTAAATTTAGTCCCGTGAAGACTGTGAGTTGAAAATCTCCTTATGAATTCAGCTTATGAAAAAACATTCTGTACCAGGTAAAAGCAAGGTACCACCCTAATGTTGGACAAAGACTATAGGAGGAACTAGCAAAGGAATGCCAAACCTCCCCTGAGATTATTAATTACTGCAGAATTCAGCATAGGTATGCTTTTTTATAAAACTCCCTTCTCATCAACCCTGATAAAATGCCAGTCGTTACATTAGACGTGAGGATGGAGAGAAGAAAAAACAACAGAAAGAGAAAGACAAATAGGATTTAGTGGAAGGAAAGGCAGTCAAGAAATCTGGTCTAATTAGCTATCACCAAGTAACAGAACTTAATAGAATGATCATACAGGGCAACAAAAACTGAATCTCTCCCAATTTTATTGGGGGAGGCAGATGTATCCACACAAAAAGTAAATGATATGCTCCCAGAAATACTTTATTATTGAAAGTAAATCGAGTGATATAGAAGGAAAGAGTATTCAGGAAAACCACAAATGCTGGTCAGGAAAGGCTGATGGGGATGTGGAAGGGACTTCAGATAGCACCTGCAAGGTCAGGGGGCAAAATAACCACCCTGGACTTGGGGGAATAAACAGGGCTCGGTGGGGTTGGTCTGACTGGCTGGCATTTGGGGAGGAAACAGTAGATGAAAACTCACGGCAAAGATGAGTTGAACAAGACTGTGGAATCTGTGAATTCCGGGCCACAGAGTCAAAGTTTTTTTCTGGGGAAAGATGGGTGCTGCAAAGCTTTCTGAGCCGGGGTGACGAAACTGAAATGGACTGGTGTGTGTGGGTGAGAAAGGTAACACAAGATGAAGAGAGAGGCAGCCTACCGTAGGTGACTTATCTGCATTCCTAACTGCAAACTCTGAGGACAGAACCCAGATCTAGAACAGACACAAGCATGAGAATAGGTGCAGACTCCAGAGCCAGACAGGGCTCAGTCCCAGCTCTGCCGCTCACTAACTACATGGTTGTAAGCAAATTCCTTAACTCTTTTTGCCCCAGTTTCTCCATCCATAAAGAGGGGATCATAACCTACCTCACAGGGTTGCAGTGAGAATGAAATGAATTAACATTTTAAAAAGCTCATAGGGACGGGGATTTAGCTCAGTGGTTCCGCCACCTGCCTGACAAGAGCAAGGACCTGAGTTCGATCCCTGGTACCATTAAAAAAAAAAAAATGCTCAATGTGGGTGTGGGCTGGGGGTTTGGCTCAGTGGTTCTGCTGCCTTCCTCGCAAGTGCAAGGGCCAGAGTTCAATCCCTGGTACAAAATAAAAAAAAAAAAAAAAAAAAAAAAAAAATGCTCATTGTGTCTGGCACATGGAAAACTCTATGCTAAATGTCAGAGGTCGATGGCAGTGTAATGTCTTCACAACTGTATTCCTGACTCAGTGCCCAGCAAGCAAGATGCTTCATTTATATTTGGCTTAAAAGTTTATGCCAGAAATAAGGTAGAGAGTATCAAAAAGCATAAATAGAGCTGAGGTGGCAGCACATACCTGTAATCTCAGCACTTTGGGAGGCTAAGGCCAGAGAATCACAAATTCAAGCCCAATCTGGGCAATTTAATGATTTAGTGAGACCCTGTCTCAAAGTTTTAAAAATAAAAAAAGGGCTGTGGATATAGTTGAGTGTGAAGGACCTGAGTTCAACCCCCAGTACCACAAAATGAAACACGCATGCGCACACACAGAGTAAGCCCAGCTACTTGAGAGACTGAGGCAAAAGGATTGCTTGAGGAGCTCAAGATCAGCCTAAGCAACATGGCGAGGTCCTGTCTGAAAACAAAATATAAATAGATGTAATTTTGATTTTAAAAAATCAATAATAATTTGTAGTTATCAGAATAAAGAAAAGTTAGTCAAAGATAACTTACACCTGCGGGAGATATTATGGTAACAGTACTAGATCAAAAACTCAAGTTGGAAGGTGGTTTAACAGGCTAAGAAACTTGAAGACAATTAAAATTAACCAAATGACAGACAAGGACATTATTTCTTTTCTTTACAATGCTAACAATGCAACTATCTTTTGTTTCTTCTGGTGTAATCTGCTTTCCCAAAGCTGAATGAACTGGGAGGGCCTGACTAGAAAGGAAAGATCTCTTTATGAACACAGAATAAAGATGCAACTTCAGTTATAGCAGGGACCTCCTCTAATTTCCAGAAATATGTTGAGTTATAATATTATATTGAAAGAACATTACATTGATGTCAGAATGACTACCTGCCAATAAAGCCAAATATCTCTAATCAGAACTGTTAACATTTTGTTTGTTTGTTTTGTGGTGCTGGGGATCAAGCCCAGAGCTCCATACATGCTGAGCAAGTACAGCATGAGCTACACCCCAGCCCAAGGACTACCTTTAAAATGGCACAAGTTTCAAAAACAGATATCTTAGGGAAGAGTGGAGGGGGTGAAGGAGGGCAGGGATATGGGGAAAAAAATGAGAACCAAGACCTGTCATGTAAAGGTACAAGATTCCAATGATGAATGTAACTGTACTGTATACTTAAAAAAGTACCAATAAACTCAGTAAGATTTAAAAAAAAAAAAAGCAAATATCTGCAGAGAAGCTTCCCCCAAAACTGGCTAAGTACCAGAAGCTCAAAAGCTAAATGACAAACAGTCCATAAGTCTGAAGACAAAACAATGGTCATTTCAAAACCGTATTTGAAAAAGGTACAATAAAGGTGCGGGATTTCAAGAATATAAGTCACTTGGGCTGATAGCCGTGGCCAGCCTGTGGGCCTCACATATATATAGAAAGTCCCCTCAATACTAATCTGCAGTATGCAGTATTTATAAACACTGCAGGGAGGTGACCCCATGACCTCTTACTGAAACAAGGACATTCTCTAAACCAAACTTCAGCCTCCTGTCTATCTCTTGAATTTTTACAGTTTTATGAACTTGGATATATTCTTTAGCTCAAAAGTACAGAAGATATAAAAATAGTTTGATCTGAGGATACAGGAAAAGTAATCGTGTGAGTTACCTGTGTGGTGACCATGAGTATCTTCAAAATCTGCAAACCCAGTTTCCATGGAATCTGGTGTCTGGCCCGGTATTTCTCACAGGGGTTCATGAAGTAAAACTTCAAGTCTTCTCTCAAACATTCTTCTTTCACCTCAGAATCAAGTTGTGCCATGGTGTTTCTGCCACAGAAGATCAATTTTTAAATACTCTGAAGAGCCTTCACTCAGAAAGCTCCTGAATAACATTTTCTGGCCACATGTGCTGCCTGTCATACAAACACACCTCTCTCCAGCCAGTGAGCCCCTATTGTTTTAAGAAATATGAGAATTATTCCGGACCCTCTACCACCTGCTTTTCCATATATCCACCCACCTTGTTCAAAATGGCCATTCTCTGGCTGCTATCAAGAAATCAACCAATAACAAATGTTGGCGGGGTTGCGGGGAGAAAGGAACCCGTCTCCATTTTTGGTGGGAGTGCAGACTGGTGCAACCACTATGGAAATCAATATGGAGATACCTCAAAGAGGTGGGACTAGAGGTTCCATTTGACCTAGCCATCCCTCTGCTGGGTATCTTTCCAAAAGAATTAAAAGAATCATACCACAGTGATATATGCACACCAGTATTTATAGCAGCACAGTTTGTAATAGCTAAAACTTGGAAACAGCCCATTTGCCCATCAGTTGGAAACTGGATAAAGAAGATGTGTTTTTTTCTATAAAATGGAATACTACTCATCCATAAAAAATGAGAAATTAGATTCATACTGTTTCAAGAACTCCGGTCTCAGGGGTCAAGGCAGGCCAAGAAGAACCCACAAGAAGTGGTCTCAGGATTGGAGCTAAAAGTGATGGGACATGTCTGGTCTTTCCACTAAGTGGTCTCCAACTTGGGAAGTGCAAAAAAAGGACATCCGAAGTTCAGAAAACATTGTTTATTCTTCATCTTTAAAACAAAAACCCTGAGTTCTACCAGTAATTAACATGACAGAATATACATATATAATAGTTAATATAACTTATGGAATATACACATAATACAAAGGAAATATTGTGTATAACACTGTTGTATAATCATTTAGAAATAAATGTACACACATTGGGAATAATGTGTCCAAATTTACTATTGAATACATAATCAAAGTTTGGAGATCATAGACTTCAAGCACAGGCTGTGAATCTGGAGTTCCTAGAAACCATCTCGCCACCACAGGAGAACTTACCAGAGACTGGATCTAGCACAGAAAATCAGACAAGACATAGCCACTAAGTCCAATAACAGTATTTGAGTTCCTGGACACAACTGTGCCTGAAGTTATCCATCCTAAGATTTTCAATTTAAGCCAATAAATAGCTTAAGCTAATCTGAGTTAGATTTCTGTTTCTCCCCACCAGCAGTGTCTTGGTGGTATATTGAATGAATACAGTCTAGTAGGTTAGGTCAACATTCAAGTTACTCATTTCATGGAATGTTTTTATAACTGGAGGTTACTCTGGGGGATGTGGGGGCCTGGGATGTAGTTCAGAGGCGCCTGCCTGGCAAGCACAAGATCCTGAGCTTGATCCCTAGTACAAGGAGAAAAAATAACTCCGGGGGATTTTGTACAGGAAATATCTAAATAGCATATTTTCTTACTGATTTATAATCTGTTATCTACCTTGACTAACACATTTAAAAGAAGCTCAAAAGGGAATGATTGTTTAAAGGCTTACACACAATTGATAATGGTTTTCTGTTTCCAAGTTGATTTTTTAAGTCTAGAATTAGTGACCTAGATAAATCAGAGCTACTCTACTAGAAAGAAGAGGGAAGAATATAGGAAAGGAAAAGAGGGGGAAGAAAAAGAAAAAGGAGGAGGGAGGGAAGGAGGAAGGAAAATTAGTTAAAATACATGCTTCCTGGGGGAGTCTGGAAGAGCCTTTAAACAACTACAGAGTTAAACAGAGCAAGAGGACCAATCTCAGTGGACACCCTGAGAAGAGTGAGCCAATTGCCACTCACACAGTCTTGGACTTTGGCTTTGTGGCACCAGGAAATGGGACCAGAGAACCAACACGCAGGCCCAGGCCCACCTAAGACCTGATAGAATATCTTCCTCACATTTAGATGGCTGTTCCACAGGGCTGCCCTTTCAGGAAAATAGCCAGAATTGAAAGTGCCTGTCCCCAAACTTATAGGACTGCTCAGGAAACCAGAGTGGTTCCAAATCCTCTTTCTAAGGGAACAGGAAATGAAAAAGAAGCCCTATGCTAAGAAATGATGGCCCTTAGCCAGCCATTTGATCCTCATACCTGGGCAAGCCAAAAGGTACCCAAAGACCTAGCTTTAAGCCTACTACAACAGTAAGCTCAAACTGATTTTACTTGGGTTCCAGCCTGCAATTTCCCTTCATAAGGCCTCTTCAGAGATTGTTCACCCTAGGACCTGGGACACTCTAACAAGTAATGTGTCAGACTCAGTGACCAACGGGTAAACAAGCAAACGAGGCAACCTAATAACAAGAAAGGGTTACATAGAAATGGGTAGCAGAAAAAGGACTAAGTGTATTAGAATTAAACACATTTGAAAATAATGTGCTTATCATACTAAGCAAACAACATGGCTAAAAACATCAATGAGAAAACTTGGAAAAAACAAAATGCTTTCAGAAATGAAAAATCAGTTACCACAGTGATTCTCAAGTCAAAAGAACAAGACTACAAATGTGTCTGCCTTGAGCCTACTATAGTCACCTCTTGCTTCAGTCTGACTGACTTAGTGAGCACTTACTCTGCTGAGCAAGCCCTAAGCTGGAGAGGTTCCCTGAAAGTTCCAGGCTGAGTGTCCAGCAAGAGAGCCGGCTTGGGGAGGCACCACTGGAAAGAGCTCGAGTGGATGGCGTACCACAGCATAAAACACATTATGACACAGAGTGTAGACTCTGGGGAGGGTCCCGAGAGTGAACGGGGGCGCATCAGCCACAACATACAGGTGTGCAAGGCAGCACTTGCCCGGGAGCACTGAGGATCCTATTTGGAAGAGGAATGTGGCACCTTAACTGTGCCTGAGAGCAACATCCTCAAACTGGAACTTCAGAGGCTGCATGCACACCTGCAAGAAACCTCTTTGGTCGTGCTTTGAGTCAGACTGAATGCAGAGATCATCACTTCAGTGAGCCAGTGTAGCTAAGGATTCACCCTGATGATTCAAATCTGCTTTTCATTTAACAAAATGCAAAGAGCACATGAAAATGTGTGTGAATTCTCAGGGCCCTGATGCAAAGGCCATGGGGCCACCCTGCCCTGCCACACGCACCTGGCCTCTGTATGAGAAATGAACTAAAAGAACAGGTCACTTTTACCAGAACAGTCTCAGTGAAATCACAGGACATTTGATTAAATACTTAGTGAACACCTTGAGGGCCAAGTTCTGCTGGAGACAGCTTCCTATCTCCCAGAAGCCAGTCCCATGAAAAGGAGAGGCATGAATAGATAAAAATACAATGAAAGATGTTAAGAGCTATGGTTAAAGTATGCACTGGGAACCCAGGAACAGAAAGTGGCCGATGCAGCCCAAGTGCTTCAAGAGGCCTCCAATAATCCCAGGTATGGATTCCTTCAACTACTGCATGTGGCCACTTGGTGTTCAAGAAATAGTAACAAATAGTAGAGCTAGCAGAAATAGTAACAAATGTCATTCAGAAGTTTCAGGCAAAAAATAAAATTAAAAAGTGGCAAAAGAGTAGCAAGTAATGAATGTCAAGATCACTCATTCTATTACATTACTTTTACTACTGTATGCTTCCAGAATTATTTCACTTAAGTAATTTACAATCACTTGTAACACTTCTCACAATGTGAAGGATCAAAACATTACACACTGTTCCCTTAAGTATAGGAGTCAAACAGCAAAATATAGGATAGTATGAGTTGCATGGGCCCAAATAATGAGGATGACAGAAATGCAGAAAAAACATTTCTGATATAAACAATAAAGATGCATGATGAGCTGCTTGTTCATAAGTCTAATTTAGGTTTAAATGATGTTTAAACTTGGGAAAAGAGGGTAATGATATTTTGGTTAAAAAATCCTGGTATCTCAATGAAAATGTAAAAGTTTTCCAAACTCTGAGAGCTTCTTATTGCCCTCCTTCTCCTAATTGGTAGATTCACCCTGGTTCCCTGGTGGAGGAAGAACATTAAAATGACATAACAAACACAAATACCCTATTCTTATAACAAAAATTAAAAGGTGCTATTCTCCAAAATGGAATACTACTCAGCCATAAAGAATGAGAACATAGATTCATTCATAGTTAAATGGGTACATTTTGAGGATATACTTCTTAGTGAAATAAATAAGTCACACATATGCAAATACCGAATAGTTTCCCTGGAGTGAAAAACTAAAATAGTACTCGAGATCCTAATGGGACAAATAGCAAATAGGAAGAAAAGGACCAAAGGTGTAGGGACAGTGAGGAGGAAGGAAGGAGGA